AGTTGATCTGTTCCATGTGGAGGCTAGGATTGCTTGAATATTGAAATTAACTTCCAGCATCCTTGTTTCTCTACCCCATTTCAGCCCCTTTCTGGAGCAATCCCGAAAAGGATGTTGAGGGCACCGACCCGCACAAATCGTCTGGACTGTCCTAGTTTGAAGCGTTCGGAGAGTCTCAAGGAGACGCTGGTGAGACGGTGTTGTTCTTTTAAAAAAGTTAGAGGTCATTCTTGTTAACTTGCATTAATTTGATCTCCGGGTTCTGCCTTCTCCACTATAGTATATATCCGTCCTGCTAAAAAAGTGGCTAGTTGCATAAAATGCCAATTAAAACAAACTGCTAATTTGTTCATTATGAAAATAATTGTTGGAAACAATCGTCTCTTTAACACACGCCACTCGTATAGGTGTCGGTGGAATGTGAGCTGCCACGATGGCACCTAGGTAAGGTTTCAGCCTATAAATAACCTGGTGGCGAGTTCCACAATCTGATTGAGACCTGTTCTGGAGAAGGTGCTGTGTACCCCGTATTTCACCTGCAAGCTTCAAAATCTCCCCAAATGGTCGTAGTTAATCCTTAGTACTCCACTTGGGTGTGCCAGATAACCCTTTGTTAGTTGGCCATGTAAAGCCCTCAAATTTGAATTTAATGCATCTGTAACGCTTGGCTGTAACTAAAAACAGACACTGAAAGCGTTACGCCCATAGGGAACCATATGAAAGACTTCAGTCCCCCGGCAGAATTTAAACGCGCCACCTTGAGATTGTGAGCCATGTACATTATCGACTGAGCTAGCGAGGGACAGCATTTGCCCACGACACACTTGCTTTGCAGCGAAGCGGTGCAGTTCAGACGCCTCTCTTCCACCGTATAGCCATGGCTGCGAAGGCACGGTGGAAAGAGAGGAGAGCTTATCGAAAATTTAAGAAGTGTCAGAAGCAACAGGAAGAGCCTTCACAGGAGACCCCACCCCGCAGACTAACGCCAATAAGTGCAAGGCCATCAAGCATTTTGTGCTTATCAATTTCTGTCAACATAATCAAACATGCATTTTTTTATATCTTGGCTAGAGGGGGGCGGGGGGGGGGGGGGGGGGGGGGCCTTGGTAGTTTTATCTTCATCAACCACTCTACAATCTCTCAAAGTTCGGAATAATTTGGGGCAAGCTTCTTCCATAAAGTATTCTCCTACCCCTGCTGGGTAGGAGAATACCACCAATCATTGCACGGACAACGGCAGCATTCTCACCTGTAACTCAGTGATGGCCTGGAAGTTAGAATATATATAACGTATTTCCCCATTTAGGCAATGCCACCTGACCTTCAGCCAAAGCTACAGGGGGCGGTTGCTGCTAGCTCAGCCGCCACTGAGGCAAAACAAGTAATGGTCGCCAAGAAGCTCCTCCGGCGATCGAGATCCGCCTGCCCGGTCAGCAGAGCCCCACTGAAACTGGCGTCACCCAGGAATGGTCAGTGCGCATCTTTACTGCTGTAAGTGTAGGGCTAAGACGCGCTTGCACCTGAGGTACTTTATAGATTCCAAGCCGTTTCTGATCGGTTTGACGTGTGGCGAGTCTCGTTTGCAGATATCAAGGGTGCCCTTGCATTCTTTAGGCACCCTCCCGAGCAGTAGGTCCAGGGGTAATCGCAGCTCGCATTTTAATGCAATGGCATGTCTGTTTTTCTCTGAGCTGGCATGTTGACTGCAATAGGGTACCATTGGCATTGGAGGATGATATATGTCTGAATGTCCAACATCAGAAAGATAAGAAGCTACTCTGTGTAAACAGGAGAAATGGTGCGTGTGCGTAAGGGTATCTAGAACAGACATTTTAATGTTGCAAATTGTTCCGCTTGCAAAGAATTCAGCTTCATCTTCAAACAAAAGATGGTCAGTTATCTTTTATGCTAGTACATACCTAATCATGACCACTATTAGAACCTGAATCTGCCAGAAATGCTGAACCAACCGTAACACCTGTAATCTAGAATAAATCGTCTCATTCTGTGCTTGAAAATTTGCCAGACGAGAGCCACACCCTCGTGACAGTGCGCTGTCCTGAACAAGTCTCCGACTGGTGTTATAGCGTCCTACTCCACCTATGCATCGAAATTGGTCTCGAAGTGGCAACAAATGTCAGAAAAGCACGACCGTCATGCTGTCGGATGTCCCGATCTTCATGGCTGCCAGCTGGCAGCAGAAGTTCCGGCAAAAAGCTCAAGCAATTGCGAGTTTTGCTGCCATTGCGGCGTGCCAACTAGTGGTAGCCGAAGCTTCTGTGGACTGTCAAGCTGGAAAGCGACCTACACCGACAGGCGTCTGCCACATCCACCCCCGCTGCTGTGACACCGCCAGAATCGCGGTCGGAGACAGCATGACACTTCTATGACGTCATGAGACGGAAATCAAGATAACACTTTTTTGGACGCGGTAAACACCAGTTGGAGACGCGTTTCCGGCACCATAGTGCCAGTGCCTCTTGTAATCCACCATGCTCGAAATAGAAATAACTGGTGCCGTCTAGTAGAAAACTGTATGAGGATCCCCAGGGTAAAACAGCTGCATTTAATAGAAAGAAGAGCGAAGCTTCTTTGAGCGGACTTGGGGGTTAAATGTGAGCAGCATTGGGTACAAAAGGGACATTTAAAGTTGGGGGGGGGGGGGGGGGGGGGGGGGGGGTCGATCGATCTAGGTCACCGAAGCTCAGTAGAGTCGGCAGGATCTAGCTTCTTTGAAAGAGGGAGTGCCCGTGCTCACTTGAGCACGAGCTCACATTTTCATACCAGAACGTCGTAAACCGATATTTTTTATTAATTGGTGAAATGCAGAAAAGCGTAAACAGTTCTTCAGCTGCAAGATGTTGAACAGCAGCCCTTGTTGCTTATGCAGCCCTCAAGGCCGGTGCTTCAAGCTCCAACGTCGTTTCCTTGGCTACCAAGCACAGAGGGATATCCGTAGCCCCCTCGGCTCCTGAGATAGAAGGCTCCGGCAGCTCTGCCGCCCCGGCACCGTCTGTAGCGGGCAAACGCAAGCCGTGGGACCTACAGGGGACGATCAAGGACTTGACGGAGCTGGTAAGCTCTCTGGCCGAGGACAAGCACGAGCTGCAGATCCTTCACAAGGAAAAAGAACTGCAGGTTGGTAGCATATTGGTGACTTTCCGTTATGCTGTACTTTTCCGGGGGTACTTTAGCTTTTATATTTTGGGGAACTCCCATTTCCATTGATTATTGGTGCAGAAAACCTACCCCTGTATCGATAAGATAAAGAGTGCGGAAGCCTACGGACCTTATGAACAATGATGCACATACTGTACTTTGTTTACTCTTGAGCTGAGACTGCAGTCAAGGCCACAAGTGTGAGAGCACAAGATCGTCTTGGAAACGTTTTTCCGCAGGATGAGCGTTCGCTCTACAAAAACATGCCTCAAAGCAAGGGGCATTGGCTAGTTCACACTTGTGGCTTGGCTGCGGTCTGAGCTTAAGAGTGAACGCAGTGTAGGTGGTGATTCTGACACACAGTTGAGTCGGGAGTTGACTCCAGTTTGCTGAAGCATGTGCTTAAACTTTCATATCTTATTGAGGTTCTGAGCATTTCGGGATTCTATTAGTGCATTCTATTCTTCAATATTCGATCCGTTCAAATCGGGAATGATGCCAACTGGATGAAGCAGGCTCGTTGTTAAAACAATATTCACCTAGCGTGGCAACATTTAATTTGTTGCGCGACTTTTAGTTATGCTTCTTTCGCTGTCGACTCTTCGTCTTTCTCATTTCGGGCGATTTTCTTTTTGTTTTGTTCCCGTGAAGGCTAAAGCTCCAAACTTGCCTAAATGCAGAATGCGGAATGACAGCATTTTCACTGGAGATTTAACCTTTAGCCATTATTGCTCAAACTTGGGAAAAGTTGAAATAATAGTCAAAACTCAGGTCAGCTGGTGAACAATCATAATTATGAATTAAAACCTTGAGACAAGGAAACAAAAATGGCTCATCTGAGGCCTTTTGGTTAATTAAAACATTTTGATTAAAAAGTTTTAACAAAAACAAAGGGCTTATTTGAGACATTTTGGTTAATTCTTTTCTTTAAAAGGGTTTCAAGAATTAAAACCTGAGACAAGAGAACAAAAAGGGCCCTTTTTTGTTTCGTTGTCTCAAGGTTTTAATTCTTAATTGAGTAACGCCTCTTTCCTTGACCCGATAGATGCGTCTTTTCCAGAAGATTGAAGGGCTCATCTTTCGGTACTCGACCTTGTACACCTTGCTTGTCTGTGGCTGTTTGCCCATTGTAACTAGACTTCCACATCAATTTTCTGTGTGCTGCCTTACAAGTCTTGTCTCCCCTCTGACTTCAGGTGGAGGTGCTCCTGAGGGACAACACGGAGCTGCAAGTGCAGCTAGAGCAGGTCAAGAGTCTGACCCTCGAGAACGACTCCCTCAAGGAACATCTCAGGTAAGAATTCGAAAGTGCTTAATGGACAGGCTCCGCTCTTATAATTTCACTGTGTGTGCTAATGTTGCTGTTGTAAAAGGTCCCTTTGTAATAGAGAAAAGTTCATTCCCGGTAGTGACACTTGGGAAGGCCCCAGTTTCTGTCATTTATTTATATGCTTCCACAATCTTGGTAAAATTCGGTACGTTGAATACAGCTGCAGCAATTTAACGCCGTTTTTATCGAAAGGAGTGAAATCCGACTTTACTTCACGATGAAATAATACGCATCTCGTTCAACTTCCCTACCCAGTGCACTTTGTTGCCTTAAGGCATGCGAAGAACAAAGTAATAAGCTGATGTTCCGTTTTTCCCCTGATCCTGGTTATCTGCCTCTGAGCTTGTGACACTGTCAAAAATAACTATGTCCAACAGTGCAATGAATCGCTAATGTGAAGGAATGTGGAACACAATGGTGTAGTTGTACAATGTCGGAGGTGTCTGTCCTTTTTATCTTGGCAGGCTCAAGACGAACGAGGTGGCAGAGTTAACCCCTAAACTGGAGAGCACCATGACCAAGTTCGGGTTCTGCCAGAGGGAGAAGCAGTCCCTACAGGAGATGGTGTTTGACCTTACCGGGAACTATGCAGGGCTACAGGTGGAACACTCGGCAATGCAGGTCTGAGATCTCAATTTTTCTGCTTGCGGGTTGTTTTGCCGAGTACCCGAGGTATTCTGTCTCGGAAATGTACTAATGTCAAGAAATGCCCCTGGAGGTTTCATTTCTGTCATCGCTTACTCGAGAATTATGATTCCTCACACACCCAGACGCTCTTCTTTGCTTCATTGCTTCTGGTTAAGGGTGTTATTTTAACATGACTGAGCTGACCGCTTCCTACTGAGTGTATTGTATCATTACAAATACTTGCACCGTTTTAAATTGTAATTGTACAAATATTAAGACGGGGGAGTGAATTTTATTCACTCAAGATTATTGGGAGTTCGCTCAATACGAAAAGATTTTTTTTTTTTTCAGTCCCTGTTTTAGGGCATTTTCAAGATATTAAAAAAAATGGGTTGAATGAATTGCCTTCCGTCTATAGGGCGAATTTATGTGACTAGAGCGTAATTTTTGCCATGACTTGGCTGCACACTGAATATATTCGAGTGATTTTTCACGTCGTGAAAAACGGACACAAACGATCCACCTTCAAGAGCAACATCCGTTACATTGCCATGGGACTCGCATGCAATGCTTTTCATTTCCTGTTTTAAGTAGCCTCGGTTTGATAGGTGTTCTCTCCACAAGCGCAGTCGATAAATGAGGGCTCTAAGTCATCCGCTCTTGAATCCGACCAGGATGACATGGAATGGCAGACTCCGAGGCTCAAAAAAAAAAACAGTGGTCTTTTTTAACTAACCGTTATTTTAATATTCTCGATGTTTTCATGGCCTCTTAAATTTTAAGTTCACATTTTACCTTTTAGATAAATAAAGAAGTTACATTTTATGCAGTGGAACTGTCGCGGTCTTTTACCATATATTGAGGACATTAATTATTTTGTACGATTTTCGGCATATTGCCCTTGCTTTACAAGATACCCATCTTCATGCTCAACATGCCCAGATTTTAAGGAGGCTTCAAGTTTTTCGTAAAGATTGTTTAAATTCCGATTTCGGGGGCTTGGCAGTAATTGTGTTAGCAGGGTTGCCTGCTCTGAGGTCCCACTCCGCACACTACTAGAAGCTGTAGCGGTATGCCTTGTTTTCGACCGCCTTATAACGGTTGTTCCTATTTATTTGCCTCCAAATGTCCTCCTGCTTCTCTCTGAGCTCCAGGGACTTGTGGAACAACTTTATCAACCCTTTCTACTTTTAGGTGATTTTAATGTGTGGCACTCGTCTCGACTCTAGAGGCAGAGTAATTTAACGGTTATTATCATCTCAACTGTGTCTTTTTAATGGAAAAGTCTACATGTTTTTTTTTTTTAGTTCAGCTCACAATTCATTTGCATATATCGATTTAACTATTGAATCACCTTCATTACTGCCTTGTTTTTCTTGGCAGGTTCTTAATAACGCTTTTGGGAGTGACCACTTTTCTATTGTTTTAGAAAGGGACATTTGTCTTCCAACCTTTTCAGAAAGAATGCCTCGGTGGAAGTTGGACAAGGCAGATTGGTGTCTTTTAGTTGAACTCCACGCTGGATACATCAGTGTTTTCCTCCATGACTTCGTATGAGGCCACATTGTATGTGACAAAGCAGATAATAAACGCTGCTCAGCAGTCAATTCCACAAACTACCGGTATTTTGCACCGTAAGGGCCAACCTTGGTTAAATAAGTGATGTGCCTCTACGCGAAAAGCAAAATAGGGCATGAGAAAAGTTCAGGAGGTATTCCACCTTGAGAAACCTGGTGGAGTTTAAAAAACGAAGCAAGAGCACGGTGGACTCGTAAGCAAGCGAAACGGAAAACCTGGAGGAAAACTGTTTTCTTTGAACAGTTTTTTCCCGCTAAACAGGTCTGGGCTAGATTCCGGAAAATTAAAGGGGACTGCCGAGTTCAATATCCAATTTCAACCCTTCCACTGCATCATGGAGAAAATTGGCTAATGTTCTTTGGGAGTAGTTTTATTCTGTCCTGCTTCTCTAGCTATATTAATTCTTTCAAGTCCTTTAAATACCGTGCAAAGCAACGCAATATAATTACAACTGGTTCAAACACGGCATCATAAAATCAGCCTTTTACACAGTGAGCTAGATGGCCCTTCACGTCAAAAAGCTATCTGCTCCTGGACCTGATGGACTGCATTACGAAATGCTGCTTAACCTCTCTCCTGAATCCCTCAAATTCCTTCATTTCTTCGGTTTTTTGTAGGAAAGGGCGTGTTTTATTGTGGCTTGGAACCAAGCACACATTATACCTCTCCTGAAGCCTGGTAGAGATCCCTCTCTACCTTCTAGTTTCCGTCCAATTGTTTCAAACCAGCTGCCTTGGAAAAACAGAAAGACTGATAAACACATATGTACATACTGGAAAATAGAATGTTGCATATAAACCAGTGTGGCTTCCGCCAAGGACTATCGACCTTGGACCATTTGGTGCGCATAGAAAGTCATACGTGAAGCATTCGTAAATAAGCAGTCTTTTTTTACTTGGAGAGGGCCTACAATACGGCATGCAGGTATGAGATCCTCCAAGACCACCATGGTTATAAAATCCGTCACCGTATGCTGCATTGCATAATATTTTTCGACAAAACACGCAATCACCCGTAATCATCCGACTTTCCATTCTTTACAAGGATCTAGATTTTGTCGCCTTTTTGAAAACAAGCAGTCTTGTGAGGTCCTTCAGTTTTCATGTCCAACGCTTCTGTTCCTTATTTTACATTTGCCTGAACGATGCTAACCTCTTGCAGAATGTACACTGTGTTGCCCCCTGGGACATATTGCCAGTTGTCTGGGACCGGACCTTTACTAAGTTTAGTATTCATAGTTTTTCAATCCTTGTCATTCAGCAGTAATCATCTGAGCTAGAGAAGAAATATGAAGGTCATGGCCATTTCTACACAAATATAGCTAAGACTTCATCATTCGTTGGCAGTGCCGTGCATTCTAATTCGATTTTCAGGAGTGAAACCTCTGAATACCTGTGCAAGTATATTCACATAATAACTTTATGCAATTTCTGTGGCTATAGATTAAATTCTCCAGGCTAGAATAAAGCAAGCAGTCTTATTTGTAGACTCCCAAAGTAATATTATTGCACTATGCTGCTTAAAAGTTTCTAAAAATATGCTTGTGCAGCAACTGAGAAATAAACTTAATAATGATATGCACGGAGCTCTCAAAATACAATTTTGTTAGGTTTCCAGTCACATGAAAATAAAAGGAAATGAAGAGGAAAACAGACTCGCCACATCCTCGGGTAATATTCCACCATCCCACGCCAGTTGGCCTTACCAAGACATCCAACCTCTAATAAAGTCATCATGTCTCCGTGTACGGCAGTCGGAGTGGAAAATGCAATGTAAAAACAAACTTTATTTAACAAAGCCCTTGGGCTGTTGGAGAGCTCTTCACTCGCAGAAACCGATTTCATAAAGTTTTGTTATGTTATTTTCGCATTGGCCACTCTTACATCTCACAAGCATCTTCATTGTAGAGAGGTTCATCCAGTTTTGAGCACTGAGGTGATGATATTGCCCTGATAAATGTTCTATGGGTCTGTTCAGATTTCGACACCAAACGTCGTTTCTATTTTCTGAATTTTTTCGCTTCCAAATTACATTCGATCCCACCCTTTTACTCAGATTATCCTCTCATCCCATTTGACAGTGTCTTACCCTTTATTGCCAATTCAGGCCTCATATACGAGATCTTATCCTACATAAATAGAAAGTTTTTTTTTACATATTAGCTACATTGGTTTAATCTTTAAAATTTAGTTTGGTGCAGGATGGGCCCCGTAGCTCTTGCGCCATAAAGCCCACAAACATGGGTTTGGTATTTGAGGCCCTCGTAACATTGTCGCAGTCAAGGTGTGGATGCTCGTGATACACTCGGAGCAGTTTTCTTGATGCCTCTTCTCGTTCACTCTGCCTCCACGGGTGTTTGCTACAAATCTGTAGTTTCTTCCGTGCGTGTCACTGCCCCGTAGTGGTGCAACCACTGTGCTGATGAGATGCGTCTGCTTGCAGTTGCTGCTTCAAGACGAGCAAGAGAAATGTGCACAGCTTGCAGACTCTCTTCGTCAGAGCCAGGAAAGGGAGGCAGAGAAGGGCCAGGAGCTGCAGGACGCCGATATGATACGTCGTGACCTGCATAACACGCTGCAGGAATCGAAGGTGGGTTGCACTGCGGCTTGATAACTCCGAGCTATGAGGTTAGGGTTTTTTGCCGAGATGAAGCTTTTTTGCTCCTGCTCGATTCCGCAGATATAGATTGTCGCAACAAATCCAGCACATGAAGCACCATAAATTTTTCATCCACTTCGACGCGCCCTTCTACGAACAGTGGATGCACATCAGTGATCTCAGAAAACTGGATGGAATGAAACCTCTATAGCTAGTACTCTCCCTGGGTTTCTAGAAGCCCAGAGTTCAACAGGCTCACGAATTTTTTCAGCAATTTCCACCCTCAAGTTAGTTTCAGCACTATATTCAAAAATCTCGGCCATTCATGGATGCATACCGAAGCGCTCCCTTTTTTATTTACAAGGTCCTCTTCCGCGGACCTTGTTCATAAAAGGGGTTTTTCGGCTCTCAAGAAGAGGCTCTTCGGCTCTCAGTAGATAATTATACTGGTATTGGTATTTGAGGTGCTAATGTAGTGAGTTTTCTGAAAGCGACTTCACTAATGGGGTGGTTCTTTTATGTTAAGAAGCGTTCGCACCTCACCATAGATTATTCCTTCAGGTAACTCGTAATGAAGAGTGCTCACTATTGCAAGTTGTTTGAGAACTTTTGAATCTTTGTTTTGTAAACCTGTCGCGTCGGGAGTCGTCGTGGTTGCAGCGTAACGATCGGAGAGCTGTTCCCTCGTGAATGTCGCTCAGCTAATCTGTTGGGCAGTTTGCGTGCCGGGCCGTTTGTTGTTAGAGGCAGAGGCATAGCTTTGTGCACTATCTGCATTCGTCATGGCGTACACTGACTATTGCATCATATTGGAATCTTGCGTTTCCCCTCAGGGAAACATACGTGTCTTCTGCCGGGTGCGGCCGATGCTTACGTCGGAAGAGAGGGAGGGCGAGCGCCCGAGTCACATATCGTTCCCAGACGAGAAGACTGTGGAGCTGGTCAAGCCCGACACGGAAGTGAGTGCACCAGTGGTATGTTGTAGTGAAATCTCTGGAATACACAATTATTAATGTGGGCAGTCTACCAGTGAACATAAAGGGAAAGGGGAAGGGAAAGAGCTGGCACAGCTAGGTACTAAAGGTATGAAATGACAGAATTTCAAAGAGCAATCTCTAGGAGAAAGTATTTTGTATATCTCGACATACTCAATAAAGCTGCTATGGGCAGGTTCCGCATTATGCCGAGACAGAGTATTGGATTCCTATAGTTCTTTCTATGACACTTGCTGCATTTATTAGCCATGCATTGCAACAAATTGGAGCTCCTCCAAGTCGCCACTAGTGGTTGTAAGATGCGATAGTTTTGATATCATGTTACCTAGATCAAAAAAGTTGTGCGCTAAGCTTGTGCTGAGATCATGAATCAAATACACGAAAGAGTGTAAGTGCCTGTTGCTGACAGACTTCCACCTCTCGTTTAAACTTTTTACAGGTTTTTTCCTACTTGAGTTGAGTTACTCCCCAATCTTGAGCTCCCGCATCTTTTCATATTTCTTTATAGCTCGTCTTTGATAAAACAAAGCCTAATGTTCCATAAAAATGCCGAGTACCGTATTTGCGTGACCGACCGGTTGAGCTTCCTTTCTCCAAACAGATGGTGATGGCATTCCCCTTCGACCGGGTCTTCCCGGGTTCCGCGACACAAGCGGAGGTCTACGAAGAGGTGGCGCACGTCGTACAGTCTGCGCTGGACGGCTACAACGTGTGCATCTTCGCCTACGGCCAGACCGGATCCGGGAAGACCTTCACGATGGAGGGTCCGCCAGAGCTGGATTTGGGCTCTCCGAACGACTCGCAGCTGGGGCTGATCCCCAGGGCCCTCCAGCAGGTCTTTATGTCTGCGCAGAAGCTCCAGAGGACCCAGCACTGGGAGGCAAGTGGTTCTACGTGCTTAGCAATTGTAGGACCAAGTATTGTGTGTTTTCGTGTCCGTGGCATGTAATATTGATGGTGACGCCATGGTGTTCATAACAGTTGGTGTCTGACCGCGGTGTTGTAACGGTGACGAGTCCCAAAAAAAATTTAAACGAGGCAATGATGCACTTCCGTCCAACTTCCACTGTTCGGTGTGTGGCAAAGCCCAAGCGCCATAACCAAGCATCTTGAACCCTAGTGCAGTCGAGCATTGCTAGTTCTCTTTCGGATATCAAATGCTTTCCTCGTTTTTTTTTTGTTTTTTTTTTAGCGATATTGCAGTGAAGGCTAAGAGCACCAGTTTCTTGCGCGAGAATGCACCTTGGCTACGCAAAAGTCTTGTGCAACAGCGCAGTGTCCAAGCAATTGGCTTGGCCTTCTAGCATTTTCTGCTGTGCATATCGAGGAGGAACGTAGTATAGCGCACAAAGTTATCGTGCATGTTTAAATAGGGCCTTCCTTTATGTAAATTCATAATTAATTGTGAAGAATATATGGGTGGGCCAATTTATGGATTTCTGTTGCATTTGTGGAACCGTAAGGCCAAATTGGGACTCCTAATGATGGTTTGGGTCGTCAGGATCGCCACGTGTGGGGGAAGCGTTCTTTTGGCTTTCGTTCAATGTTCCACACCTGCGTACGCCGTAGTTTGGTGTGATCTGAAAACTCTCTATCGAATATCTTGGCACAGCCAAACGATCCTTCACTCTTTACTCCCAGGCTCTTTACAATGAGCTGCACGGTTCGGAGCATAGGACCTGATAAGTGTTCCTTGTATGTCTTCTATAGTTTACGATGGTGGCGTCGTACCTGGAGATATACAACGAGAATGTGCGGGATCTCCTGTCGACGCACCCCCGGAGCAACCAGGCCAGCTGCCAGATAAAGCACAAGGACGGCTCCACGATGGTGACCAACGCCACCAGAACGACAGTTACTTCTACAGAGCAGGCAAGTATTGCCTTTGCTTGACCAAGGTCACCCGTGAAGTTTGTTTTTTTGGTGGTCTTCAGGGAAGCTTGGCAAATTTTGTTTTGGATATAGGCTCTGGTGTTGGCGAGTCTCCTCTATTTAGTCTCGTGAACCTTGAAACCCTAGTTACACTGCTCATACATCATTCAACAGACGGTGATCACTGCAGACATGTCAGAATTATCTGGTGACACACCTCAAGCATGTTCAAAGCATGTTTGCTTCATGCATATGTATGCTTCAACATGTCTGCAGAAAGTTTTTGTATGACTAATGTAACATGACTATCCATACACGGAATAAACGCTCCTCAGACAGTGTACGCAGACAGCGTATTTTGTACGATGCCTTAGCAGTATGGACTGCGGCTTAAGTCTCTCTGCCTGAAACAGTTCTAAAGCTTCTCAACTTTAGCGGTAACACAAATCAGAGACGGTTTGATACGTCTGGCCTAGTCTCGCATAGCGCACATAAAAGTGTGCTAACTGCTTTCTAGTAGGAGTAAGCGGGTAGTTCCCTGTGGTCACTTCATTGTCTGACATGGGGTTCTGAGACGCGAGATATTTATTGTCGGAACTCAGTTACGGCAGATTTTATGATGGGACTTCTGCAACGCCTGTGTAGATCCACGAGCTGCTCCGGCGGGCTCGGAAGCATCGGGCTGTCGGTTCCACCCAGTGCAACGAGCACTCCTCCCGCTCTCACTCGGTCTTCCAGCTCCGCATCACGGGGACCAACAGCCGGACCGGTGTGGGTAGCCGAGGTGGGTGTTCCCCCCTGCCTTGTCGACCATGTATGGGAGGCGCAAATGCCTCGCTTCTGCTTTTCAGTGGTGGGCACAGTTCATTTTTCTTTTGTTACAGCCTCGCCGTTATAGCTAGCTATGGCTGGTTTGCCTAACTCACTAGGCAGTAACATGTTTTCTTCGAGGCTGTTTTTATAGAGTGCAGCTCTTAGGGGCCCGTTCCCGGCTTAAGCGGCGTCGCCGTCGGCGTAACCAAGGTCATCCCAAGGTCACGTGGCCCCCAAGGTCACGTGACCCCTCCCCCAGGGTCACGTGACCACCCCCCAGGGTCACGTGACCCCCGCCGAGGTCACGTGACCTCCCCGATGACCGTCACTGACGTCACCGGCATCCGCATCGTCATCATCACTGATTACGTCATCAGTGACGTCACTGGTGACCTCACCGCCATCAGCATCGTCATCGTCATCATCACTGATGACGTCGACGGCATCGTCATCGGTGACGTCACTGATGACGTCACCGACATCCGCATCGTCATCATTGCTGATGACGTCATCGGAGTCCGCATCGTCATCGTCAATGATGACGTCATCAGTGACGTCATTGGTGACCTCACCGGCATCCGCATCGACATCATCACTGATGACGTCATCAGTGACGTCACTGATGACGTCACCGGCATCCGCATCGTCATCGTCATCATCACGGATGACGTCATCAGTGACATCACGGATGACGTCATCAGTGACGTCACTGATGACATCATCGGCATCGTCACGTGACCCCCCAGGTCACTTCACCCCCCTGTACCCTTCCCTCCTCCTCCTCAAGAGCTGCGCTCTAATTCGGTGTTACAGGGAGTTGTAAACGGCTTTCACTTTTTTTTTGTTTTTGTTTACTAGTACACAAAGGTGTTTAGTTTTTGGCAGAGCCAACTTCCTTCTGGGGCTATTAAACTTCGTTTAACTGCCCTAACTGTTAAGTTGTTAGCGCGTCTAAGAAAAGCTGCTAAACAAAGTTCAACAGTTCTTTTTCTATTATTCATACAATCTCCATCTTGCAACCACTACTGCTTCTTGAAACTTTTATTCCCGTTGACTAGTGTGCACGTCCGTCCTGTTTGTAGCATTCGTCTAACCAGTTCCAGATGACTTCTTTTTTATTGTGCAGTTCACACTTTTTCACTGCAAATGAAATGCTTTCCAAAAAGTGCCACAAATTAGGTGAGATAGTTGCTGAAGTTTGGGGCCTGCTGATGTCTGCTGCCACATAGCAATAATCTTCAATGCTGATATGTGTGTTTGCAGGCCTGCTAAACCTGGTGGACCTGTGTGGCAGCGAGCGACTGGACGAGTCCAAGGCGGAGGGTGCCAGGCTCCGGGAGACTCAGCACATCAACCGCTCCCTCTCGAACCTGGGCAACGTGATCCTGGCACTCTCCCAGAAGGTCGGCAATCTGTCTCTTTTAAGCAACCTCCTTTCTCAAAATGAGTTGGCTGCAGAAAGGCAACATTTTTGAAAAAAAACTGCAAGAAAATGAGCGCGTTAAGTCTGCTCTCAAGGGTTTTCCCTTGCTCCAAGTGCAGTTAGGACGCGAACATCACCCATAGGAATATACTGCTATATCGTAGTGTGTTGCAACGTAAAGTGAAGAGGAGCCTCTCCCACAGAACACTCGTCCAGGATGAGCGGCTTCCTTCACTCGGTATTTTCTCTGCTAATGTGGAAGGAGAGAAAGACTGCCTTTATTTGGTCAACTGTGTTATGAAACAAGCCAAAACTTAATTTAGGCGGAACTGTCATCATGGGAGCGCCAGAGAGAAGCTAATGCTTAAAGAAAACGGGGGTGCACATAGCGCTTGAGTTAGTCTTTTATGGTGCTTCTCTCTACTATCAAAGTTTCGCCAGGAAGTCTCTTTACACAACTACTAACCATTCCCGACTAAACCATATCAGTACTTTGTGTTTTTTACTATTGTTATTTTTACTCTCTCCCTTTCCTATTTTTGTCGTTTTCAAGTGTCAAAGTGTATTTTAGTTCTCGTCTACTCCCCCCCTTATGTAATGCCCCACCCGGGCCCTTAAGGATAAATAAATGAAATGAAATGAAATAAAGCACCAAACTTGTGCACTATAGGGCGTGAACTTAACGCACCCATTGACGGGTTGCTCTGGGTGTCCTTTTTTTTTTAAGTGAACCGTAATGTAAGTGTGGCGGTAAGGTCGTTGTTTTGAGCGTTGGTCGTTCTCCTTCCCTGGCGACTGCAGGCGAAGCACGTGCCATACCGCAACTCCAAGCTGACCTTCCTCTTGATGGACAGCCTGGGAGGGAACAGCAAGACCCTGATGCTGCTAAACGTCTCTCCGTGCGAGAAAAACGTGGGAAAGACAATTAACTCGCTGCGCTTCGCCACAATGGTATACATGCTTCTTTGAAGTTACGTTTCTCTATGGTTTTGCAAAGGTGTGACATGCCGTGTACATCGGGTGCCAAGTCCTTCAAGATGTAGGTGACGGTTGTGCTAAGCTAAAAAGTGGTAAAACAAGTCAGAGTCTTGGTGTATCGCTGTTTTAAAATTCAGTTTTAAACTCCTTAACTGAATTGTGACCAATTGCCCCTCAACCCACACGCGCTCGACTGTACTGTACAGGTTGAAGAATGTTCTTGGTTCCTTGTACCCCTTTCCCTCAAAACAATCTTATGTCCAAAGCAATGACATAGCATATTTTATTAAATGTCTATGGCATTAGTTAATTCCTACATGTAAAGCTTCAATTGGTGGAGAACTCGTAGTTCTTGTTAAAGGTCAACTCCGCTTCATTTTCGTTTTTCAAAAAAACAATGCAGTCTCGTAGTATCACCTAGGAAGACCACACGCCAAATATTACGACGTAGTAGTTTTGTCGAAATGTTTCTTAAGCGGTCCGGCAAACTTGGCAACGTGCCAATTTGCCAAAATCGACTGTCTCGAGCGGTCGTATTGACGCGCAACCAACAGCTCAGTCAAGGCTATGGCGTTGTCGTAGCCAACTTTGAGCTTAACGTAATCAACATTGCCCCCTTTTGCTTTATTTTAAATCTCTGGTCCCGCGTAACGGGTGGCGTCAGCAACGTTTCCTCTCGGCGCTCAGCGGTGTCCACGTGATTGGCGTAAAGCGCGATCCCAACCGATCTGCGCGCGTAGGCCGTGCGGCTCCCGGAAACTGCGGATTTCGTGACGTCACGCTGATTCCGTCCGCCTTCCGGGCGCGCATAAGAACGTTTCTTCGCCGTCTGGCGCAGATGCTCACCGCTCGCCCGAAGCAGCACCGTCCTAACCACCAAACACGCCACGAAATACGCAACTGCCGGTAAGCGCATGGCCTACGCGCGCATAAAGACGCGTTGGTTTGGACCGTGCTTAACGCGCCTGCGCAACGCGCTTCTTGGGAGCCATCAAGCCGCCACGCCGTGGTCCCACCGTTACTGCCATCCCCCGCGCCATAACCACCGTCGTCGTCTCACTCTTTGATTATAGTCCCTCGGAGTTTCTTCCACACTACGGACACTACGTGCGCAGACTAATGTCGCAGTTGTGAAGACGTCGTCGAATATCTGACAGGCAGGGGTGGGCAAAATACATGCAAATATGTATCGAAATGCAAATACAAAATACTTCGCCAAAAATGTATTTAAATACAAATCTACATTTCCAAAAAAGCATTTAATTACAAGATACAGATAAAACCAAATGTATTTGGTCTCCTCCAAATACTTTTCCAGTGGGTATCTAATTTTAATTTTGCATCGCACACTCGGGAGTTAGTGTGCGAGACTCTAGTAACGTAATAGAAATATAATTTTAAAAAAATGTAATGAGCTAGGACGTAATAGGTGAAAAAAGTACAGTTCTTCAAGCAGCTTTTTGTCGATTACATTTTGGTATAGAGCAACAAAGAACCGAGACGACCAAGACGCGCAGCACTAGCTAGAGAATTTTTTATTGTTGCAACTCGCACCAGTTACGAAAATCTGGACGACCCGCGCATTTAGAATGTTCCAGGCAAAAATGTGGATGGAAATCAGGCTGGAAAGCATCACAAGTTGTCACAGGCACTTATTTAGCCAGTCTGCCTGTGAACGTCGATTTCGTCGCCATTCTTGCCCTGGACTATACTTTGTTTCACGCTATGTTGTAGCGCAGCGAAGGCTAGAAGCGCGAGCGCATAGCGTTGGCAGCTGCTCTTAAGTCACGAGAGCTTGTGCTGTCGAGATGTGCCCCAGAGCAAAGAGCTCGCGCTTGTAACCTTTCCTGCGGTACATCATAAGGTGAAACAGAGCATAGCACCGTAATCACAAAGTCACTAAACTTGATTAAGAGACGCTGCATTCGGTGCAGAACGTAGTTTTGTTCCTGCTCTGGAGAGTGACAATAAATTTGAGGGATGTATTTTCGCCCACAAAATTGTATTTAATTACAATTGTATGTAAAATACCCACGTTTTAGTATTTAACTACACACGTCAAATACATCACCCAATTCGTATTTAAATACAAATGAAAAATACACAAAGTATTTGAAATACGCATTTCAAATACTTGTATTTGAAATACTGCCCATCCCTGCTGACACCAAAACGTGGTGAAGAGTGCGGTGTAGAAGGCACTTTGGCCTGACGCCCGATCCCGCCCGTCGTCGCGTAGAGGATCACGTGACATCTCGCACCACGTGATAGCCATGTTCTTGGCGTCCCGAGACCAATGTTGCCAGACGGAGCCGAAATTTCGGTTTCGATTTCTGCTCGTGTTTAACATTAGAATTAAAAATATAGATCCAATATTTCGCGAAGCAAATGATGGAGTGTTTTATTAAAGCTTTTAATACGAAATCACTGATTACGCAAACTGCTATAGGCAATATTTTTGAGGCGTTGCAAAGAACTCAAATTAGCTTCAGATAGCATCGACACAGCTGACGGATGTCGTGCCGGTTAATGAAGTTGTGTTCAGCACTGGCAGAATGAGCTGCATTGATTCCTCCAAAGTTCCTTTGCACAAAAACTTTATTTTACCTCGATTTTGACAACAAGGGTGGCCGTGAAATGAAGTTGGACATGCCGGTGTTGCTCCACCTGACGTCCGCAGTGTCACTTCTTTCCGCCACCGACATCAAAGTTTTAGTTACTGCGATGAACCTAAGCAAGTGATGAAATCGACAAAAAAAAGCTAAATCCCGTACCTGTGAGTTAGGAGCAAACAGACACGTCGCCCATCTGCGTCAAGTTTGCGTCTACATCATGAGAGATGTAGGCGCCAGTGTTTAATGTAGTTGAAGCACCGGAATGTGAAAATGAAAATATCACAAACCATGTAGAATATTTTTGTGGGATCTTACAGTCTTCCTCTTCTGTTTGTAGGTGACCCAGTGCAACATTGGAACTGCACATCGGACAGTGCAGGTGCCATCTCAATAATAACCTCCCGCCCTTTAACCTTTTATAATTTTCTAAACCGGGCAATGCCCTAAGAATCGTCTTTAATTTAGCACTTTGACAGGGGTCTGATGACAACGGTTGCCTTTTTGCCCCCCCCCCCCCCTCCCTTTTTTTTTCCCTACAAGTGTTTTTTTTATAGTTCAGTCCAGTTATTATTTATAATATATTTTTATAGATTTTATGGAGTGTTATGTACCGTCGGGACCAAACGTTCGCGGGGCACGAGAGTGCCAGCCGAAAAGACTGGCTACGCCTTTTCACGGCGCGTTGCCGCTCTCAAGACTCGCGCTTTGTGCATGCGCTTCCTTTCTTGTTCGCGGTCATGTTTTTTCGCTCGCTTCCGTTCGACACCCACGAGATAGCAGGGACTGGCGCAAGGTGCTGCGAAATGTTATCTGTAGCATATGCGCGAGCTCCGTCACCCATCACGATGGCAGTCATAACGGCACCTTGCGCCGCCCCGGTTATCTCGTGCACGTCGGGCGGAAGCGATTTCGAGCCCGAACGGAAGCACATTCTCGAAGCGTGGACAGATTAGTGTTTTTTTGTTCTTTTTTTTATGTTTTTATTTATTTCTCGTGAGACCTGTAGACACCTGCAAAATTATTACCCTCTTTCTTTTGAGAAAGTGTATGGGGCAAGAAAGTTCAGAAAAATGCTCATTGCATTGCCATGGGATATGCTTCCCAGAAAGACTATCCCAAGATATTACAACCTTGATAACTGTCTTAACAGGGGTCGGATTACAACGGTTGAATTTTTGCACCCCCCCCCCTTCTCTTTTCTACAAGTGTCCATATTGTTTTAGTCTAGTGCATGAATATATTAAGTTATTATTTATAGTATATTTTTATCGATTTTATGAGGTGTTATGTACTGCAACCTCATGTACATACTCATTGTGTCGGGATTTTATCAAGTACCGATTTTATTTGGCTTGGTGACATTCTCAGTTTTACAAAACTAGTCTTGAGCTCTTTTTTTTTTTCTGCAGACACATCTTGGACAGATTAGTGGTTTTGTTTTTTTGTTTTTTATTGATCGTGAGACCTGTATACACATGCAAAATTATTACCCTCTTGCTTTTTGAGAAAGTGTATGGAGCAAGAAAGTTGAAGTGCTTCCCAGATAGACTATCCCAATATATTATAGCCTTGATAAAACTGTTCTATTGCAGCCAACTGACACTGTCAGTATAGATATGTAGATGTTTTCCCCCACAATTTGTATGACCAAGTTCAAAACCATTCGTGTTTATGTATCGTCTAATAAACAATATGCATAAACTCTTTTTTCTGTATGTGATGCACCCAGCTTGTGGAACTAACAGATGCTACTTCCTAAGGCTGAATACGCTAACCACATATTTACCTTTTTGAATGGAGTATGTAGCGGTAAATACCAACCACAAAAAGAATAAACGATATGCGAAACTACTTAGAGGTCGCTGAGTTGTGCGTGTTCATCTTGGTAGCGCTAACGTGGACGAAGGCCTAGGCTGGCATGCCTTTCAGCTTTAGGGCACTTTCAATTCTTTTTATGACGAGAAGAATCTCAGGGGCAGATGCAGGAATTTCCAGAGGGGGGGTCAGGTGTTGGTCAGCGTACCACACGTTTAGGACGCCCCCCCCCCCCCCCCCCCCCCCCCGCTCCGCCGTTTCCACGTCCTAAATTTTTACGCAGGCAGAAATCAAGAGGGGGGTCAAGACATCCGGACCCCCCCTGTAAATCCGCCCCTGATCATGATGTCATACTATTTAGCGGTAGACTGCTCCACGCCAATACATTCGACTCCAGGTTACTTGATTTCTTCTAGCAGTTACTGGCGACACTTTCAATTGGTGGAAAGTTCAGTTCTTGTTATACAAACTACCCTAAGCAATATTTTTCTGGCGTTGCAAAGAACTAATTGGTGTCAGATAGCATCGCCCTCGAGCACAGCTGACGGATGTCGCGCCGGTTAATGAAGATTTCTTCAACATTGGCAGAATGACTGCAATGATTTCTCAACCCCCCCCCCCCCCCCCCCCCCGAGTTCCTTTGCACTAAAAAAATTGTTTAACCTGAGAGTCGACAAAATAAAAAAGGTGACCTTGAAATAAAACTGGCATCGCCGGTGTTGCTCCACTCGACGTCCACAGTGACTTTTTTTTACGCCGCCGATATCGAAGTTTTAGCCACTGCGACGAGCTTAAGCAATGATTTGACCACTTAATCTGTAAAAGCTGGAGTGGTCAAGTCTTTATTGATGAAAACCACGCAGAATTTATATACTCGTTGGATTAATCTTTATATAAAAAATGACATAGATTATAGAGTACTGGGTATGAAGATTTCATAAAAAGACAACTAGAACTTCGTTTTGCAGATGAACATAAAGTAGATAAATAAAAAGGTGAAGTGACTGTTTTTTTCATCAAATCTCAATATTTAAATGCTTGCGCCAAAAAGTTTGGAATATATGTTTTTAGGTCGGATTATAAACTAAATCGTCTGACTTCGTTTCGGTCCGGTCAAAAAGTGTCACGAGGCACATCGGTACCTGTCAGTTCCGTTGCAAGAAAGGGTCGTTTATGGAATACCGCTGGCTTGTAAACGTTAGATTAGCAGAACATAAAATATTTAAATGTAAAAACATAGTATATAGGAGGCTGTGGTAAAAATAAACGCTTTAAAACACGGAAATATCCAAACATTTTGGATACTAAAAAAATTGTACGGCAGGTTGGTCAAAAACTACAGTTTTACACAGATCCTAATGATATCAAGACGGTCGTAAGAGCAACAATAAGAATAAAAAATATATAAAATTGTATCTCCTAAGCTTCGGGTCTTTTTAAGTTTTTTTTTTTTTTTTACTTGCATTGTGAGCAAAGTGACCAGATAATTTTTTAAGTCTTTTTTATTTATTTATTTGTTGCAATGTGAAAGAAGGGCTCGAAGGCTTATTATGTTTCAAAGTATGTTTCTGGAAGAGAAGTTGGTGATGATTCCATCGAGAATTAGGACACTTCTAAGAGGTCATTAGGTGGGTGATCCATATCTATCAAGGACTGTGAACGAAGTGCATCTCCGGAAGAGTAGGTGTTGGTAGCTATCGGGGGTACATAAGGACTCACTCCTTATGTACCCCCGATATAATAAACGATTTAGCTGCGCTTGAGATTTCTGCTGTACCTTTTTTCTTCGACTTACAGCTTTTCTATTTTTTCCCTCACCACAGTCTCGTGTTTTAAACAATGATTTATTTGTTTTGTTTTTGCCGAGACTTTTGCTCCCATGGGCCCACATGTGTGAAAGTACACAACAGCTACCTTTTTCCACCCACTGAAAAGTACGGCGAAACAGACTAAGTAGGCGCCTGGTCTCGCCACACCACTGTCGCCTTCAGGACGATAAAGTCAGTCTGCTATGGTCAGGGTCACCATGGGAAGGAAGCGTTCTCGCAGGACACGATATTACATGCAAGATCATTACCACCAGGAAATCTGGTAGTAAACGAAGCTCATGTTGGTGTGTTTAGAAGTTTGATAAGACAATTATTTTGACCAGAAACCGAAACAAAACTACAAGGGAGATATCCGAAGCGTTTTTCATAACGAAGTACGTTGAAGGCACGTGTGTCAGCGCTCCATCGGTAGCCCTGTTTGACTCGGGCGGCGGAGAAAAGCTCACCACAAAACCGGCAGGTGGGGAGAAAAGCTCACCGGCCTTTGTGCGGATGCGGAGAAAAGCTCGCCAATTTGTTCTTTCTTAGCTTAGCGGATTCTGCATCGTGCGTGGCAATTTAACACAATTAGCTAGAGTTCGTCACTTCTTTAAAATTAATTCCCCTCTTTTTTGTAATATTCTTTAAGTTCATTGAGCATATTTACTAATTCCCCTGACATTAGTAATCACCCCTTTCGTATATTAATGACGCTGCAGTATAAAATCAGAATATCGGATACCCGTAAAGGGGTATCCACACGAAGGAGAACTCCGCGGACGGATGTCTTGACGTCGACAACCCGGGAAATTCCGTCCCCGGCTCCGCCGCGTGCACCTGCGGAGCTTTCGTGCTGACAGCACGAAGCCTCCGCGCCTCCGCCGCGGAGGAGAACGGCGGCGCGAGGCGTCAAAAAGGAATGACGTATGTCTCACGTGATGCGCGCTCCGCGAAGGAAAGAAGCGGATTTCTCCTTCGTCTGGATGCCCTATAAAAAGGACAACAATTTATTGACAGCTTGACAGTGCGCCATCGGTACCTTTGTCCGTTAAAGAGCTTGTTTTTTTGCGAGCTAATATGAATAGCGGTGTGGTGAACCGTTTCAGCTCGAAAGATTGTGTGGTGCCTGATAGATGAGTAGGTGTTTGTTGATGTAATAGGTGTCGGCTACGCTGTTTCCTTTGTTATTTCACTAATAAAACTTTAGTTGCGAGAACAGCGTCGTCCAGTCGTATTTGTTGTCCTCACTTCGTCTTCTTCGTTTCAGCGGTTCTCATCATGTAAACTGTTTACCAACTCGCCCAATTCCCTACCTTACAGAAGACTAGTTCTTATATAGATTACGGGTAACAACGGTGACAGTGTGCAGCCCTGAAGGACTTGGGTGGCTTGCCGTAGAAGGGCACTATCGCACAAAGGCAACGTGTGGAAACACCAGCCGAACGGCAAGAAAAGTGCATGTTCGTGGAAGAGGAGCCTCGATATCCCACTGATTGTTTTCCTGTTTTCAAAGGTTGACAAATGCTTCAAAGAGAATTTCAGGCACCGCGTTGTTGTGCATGCACTTCAGAATGTTTCGCATTTACAGTTTTGCTTTTTAGGTTTTAGGCACACATTATTAAATTTTCGAACACTTTTTTGTTCTTCAAGTTCGTAAATTTTTCAGTTAGGCTTTTGTTGCCTAGAGAGTAAAGTATCAAAAACACTCGCCCGCAATAATTAATTTGGGAGCAATATAGCCAATAAGCTTAACAAATAATACAAAAAGAACATTTTCTTTTTTTTTCAAAGCTGACGACTTTTAATAATAATAAATTGATATAAGTTACGCATGATCCAATAGTCCCCACATTAAAAAAAATCGGTGAGCTTTTCTCCGCCGGTTTTGCGGTGAGCTTTTT